CAGGCGAGAGAGAACATGAACAGTTTAAGACCTGATTCTGTACCTAAAATGTAGGTCCATCTAGCTAAGTCGCTCGGGGATGTGAAAAATTTCACACTCTGAGCACCACAGTTAGATTGACCTAAGCCCTGGCATAGAAATGGCTGGGTCAATGGACTCCTTCTGTCGACCTAGTTACCGCTTCTTGGAAAACCGATTACCTACGACGACGGAAAAATCCTTCCTGTCATTGTAGGAAGTGTCCGCCCTGCAGCGGCGCAGCTGCAGCATGGACGTACCCATAAAGGGCTGAACAAATGGAGGGCTTACGCCTGGCGGCATTTCTCTGCCTGTAACGTGACAACTTTTGAATGGAGCTCTGCACCCGATCCATTCCAAAATTCCAGGGAACGTTCTAGGTGTCCACGGGGAAAAATTGGCATCCGGTTAGCAGGCTCAGTAGTTTCAACCAAGTCCGTAACCGTCTACAGATCAAAGAACCGGTTGATGGCACCATTCCAGCCTGGCACACCTCCCATCTCCGCTCTGCCCAGGACACAGTTTAACACGTTGACACCCTGGATGACTTACCTGCCAGACAGAGAAAAGAAAGAAGAATGGTGGGGGAAGGGAGACAGAGCCCTAATACAGTGGGGAAATGGGGGACAAAGGTATGGGGGAGGGGGATGCAGAACCTTTGCCATGGTAGGGAAGAAGGAAACAGGAGGCCCGAGGGGTGAGAAGGCGGAATAAGGGGACACACAGAGCTCTTGGCATGGAGATTCAGTGGGAGACAATGGTATTGGGGGGAAGGACATGGGGAACACAGAGCTCGCTCCATGGTGGGAAAGAGCGGGATGGGGTACCCAGAGATCCTGCTATATAGGGGAGGAGGCGCACTGAGCCCCTCGCAAGAGGAAGAAGGTAGGGGGTTGCTGGGAGTCCCTGACAGAGGGGGATGGGAGGGTGGTGCTCAGGGAGCTTCAGGGGAGGGTGAGGAAGAGAGGGATGCAAGGAGCCCCAGGTGTGTGCAATGGGCCAAGCCAATGGAAGCAACAAAGCGTGCGACCCTCTAGTAACAATATCGTCTAACTCTGTGAGGAAAAGCCTGTCTTTATGCGTGATGCTGACATGCAGGCAAAGCCAGGAGAGAGGGACAGCAAAGCTTCACAATCCATTTAAACCCTGGTCTACATTTAAAAACCAGATTAGACCTAGCTACCTCTCTCCCCGAGCACCGTAGTTAGGTCAATTAACCCCATGGTTTAGACACGGCTAGGTCAACGGAAGCACCATCCTGTTAATCTAGCTACTGCCTCTCGGAGAGACGGATTAAAACTACATTAACGGAAAAAAACCCTTCCCTCGACACAGCAGCATCCATGCTGTGGCAGCCAGAAATGTGCCGCTGTAGTGTAGACATGGCCTAAAAGGTCCCCTGTGCGACTTCCCCAAATGGGTAGATCATCTCCAGGAGACCCAACCTTTCCTGTCACTGTTGCTCTCATTAGCACCATCTGTGAATAAATCCGAGAGACAAACTGAATTCCTTTCTCCACATGCACTCCCCCCGCCCCCACATAATCGAATCTTCATTCCAAATCTACCAAACACACATTTTAATTGTTTGAGAAACAGTTCTGCTCATACCGAACACTCCTGTAGCCTCCTGTTTGACTCACAGTGTCCCCAAGTCCAACCATTCACCTCCCAGCCAAGCCCAATGACAGCAGGAAGAGGGACCCTGTCAGAAGCTACGGCCTGGTCTACACAGAAGGATTCGGTCAACAAAGCTACGTTGGTCAGGGATGTGAAAACGCCACAACCCTGACTGGCATAGTTATGCCGACCTAACCCCCAGTGCAGACGCAGCTGTGTCAATGGAAAAATGCTTCCAGGGATGTAGCCACAGTCGTCTGGAGAGGTGGTGTTCCTACAGAGATAGAAAAGCCCCTTCCTCCATTGTAGACCATCTCCTCTATGGGCTTATGCCAGCATAGCTAGGCCAATATAGTCTCCGCAGACCAGAGACAGCCTAAATAGTTGCTGCAAAGTGAGTTTAACATCTCCCCAGCTGCGTCAGAACGACCCTGCCTCATTCCTCCTGCATCCCATCAACCCCCTCTTCCTTTCCTGCAGCACACCCTCATTGCAAGGGAGGTAAAGGGAGGAACAAACAAACAGAGCCTGAGAGACAAGAGCCAATTATGTCAATGACCTGCCATCATTTACTTCTGACAAGTAACACTCTGAATTGGAAAGGAAATCAACCATCAGTCAGTCAGTCGCAGGCCCTGGTATCCATTAAAAAAGACACATATTTAGTCTTTCTGCAGTGATGAGCTGTATCCCCATCGAAGCTAGAAAGGGAAATGTTTAAGGGATGTGGTCAGGCTAAACACTGGGGACCAAATTCTGCTTGTACACCAGTGTAAATCTGGAATAACTCCATTGGCTCCTGCAGGTTTATACCGGTGTGAGCACACAGAATTTGGCCCAACGCACCAATAACCTTGTGTATGTCACCAACAGCCTCTAAATCATTAAAACTGGAAGGCTTCATACACTAATTTACTTGTCACTATTAATGCTGTTTGCTGACGCTTGCTCTCTCTTGGACAATAAAATAGAAATTCAATCAAGTTTGTTTTTTGGTTTATTTCCCACTACCAACATACGGCTGCAATGCTTAGGTTGCAGACACCACAGAGATCATTTACTGACTTTAAAAAAAAAATTGCTTCCTTTGGAGTTTAAAAAAATAAATAAATTATGAAGGTTTTATAAAAACACTTCCCCCAAAACTTTGGGGCTGAACTGAACCTGAAAGCAACTGTTTAAATAAATGACAGGTTTCAGAGTATCAGCTGTGTTAATCTGTATTCGCAAAAAATGTACCTACATAATATAATATACATACAAAACACAATTTTTCAAAACAACATTTAAAAATTACGGAACCTGTCACTATTTTGTAACTGTGCTAGTATGTCTACAGGAAGATGCTATTTTGATATTTCACAGGCCTGGGAAGTACAGGAACGTAAAAGGGAAAGTGGCAATAGCCGTAAGAATTCTTAGCTCTTGTCTAGCACTTTCCATGAGTAGATCTCAAAGCATTTTACAAAGAAGGTCAGTATCATGACCCTCATTTCACAGATGGGGAAACTGAGGCACGGGTAGACCAATTACTGTTCACGGTCAACTAAGTTCTACTCATTTTCTTTTTAAGGGTGACCCAGTCCACTTCTTTTCTTTTAAAGAGATGGATAATTCAACCTTGAATATTAAAGCTGATTTTATTTTTTAAAGAAGAGAGCTATCTTGCAATTCTGGAAGTCTCTTGCTTTTCTTGTGCATCCCAACTGCATCATTTCCATTATATCAGATGCCAGCTTCTTATTTTATTATATTTAAAAAAAAACAAATTAAACATCTCTTAAAGGGACGGGCTCTTCAAGAGCACCATTTAGACCACCTTTTCCACTGCACTGAAAGTTTTCCCTTTAATTCCATCCAGCAGGACATATTTTTCAGCATCCAGAGGAGATATTAACTAAGCCAGATATTTGAGAGTTCCCCTTTTTCTTTTCTTTTCATTTTTTTGGGGGGGGGGGGAGAAGAGGAGAAGACAGACAGGAGCCCAGATTGACCTTGCTAAGCCATTTGATGATCCAGCTACTTTCATAGCTGCAACCCCTTAAATGAAAATATTTTTAACAAGCTTTTCACGCACTAGAGCTCTCAGAAATAAGCTCAGGCATTGACTAATTTGAACTGCTGCCTCCAGCCTTTTATTGAGTTACTGGGATATTACTCCAAGAAGCTGATCAGCAAAGCTGGAAGCCTGTCACTGAAGCACAATACTGCCAACGCCTCGGGATAAGATTTCAGATCATGAGTTTCCCACGCCAGCAGGCGGCCTGTCCGTGCACAAAAGGTACCTCTCAGCCAGGGAGAGAAGCTATAAAACGGATTGCTCCACACTGCACCAATGGGCTCTGAAGCGAATGCAATCCAGCCATCTGCAACCCACTGCATTAGTGCAATGAGAAGATTTTAAAGGGACAAGGATGTTTTGCAAGGGGGATCCCCAGTGGAAAGAGAACAGAGAAAAATCTCACACACACACCCTGACCCAAATAATTCAGACCGCTCTGCAAAAGCTGCGCTTCTCAGGCAAAAACCGAGATCTCTCCAGTTCCAGGCTGTCCCCCACACGCCAGGCTCCCTGCTTTGGCACTCAGTCATTTCCCTTCCTTTTCACCTCACCTAGAGTTTACCTGTCAAAGCGCCTTTGTTCCCTGTGCTGTTCTGCTTGTTCAGTGGCAGGTTATCAGAGCTCAGAGAGGGTCTTATCTGACTTTACAGGAGCAAGGGGAACGGGGAACAAGCAAGATTATCCATGGTGTTCCACTGAAGAAGCTGCAATTCCTTTCTCAGGAGCTCATATGCACCTAATCCACCTCCCTCCCCTCCCCCAAACGTACACCCCTCTCATCTCCTCTCCCCACTGCCTGCCCAGCACTCATTGCATGTCAGCTCAAAGAGGAAGGAAGGTGTGTGTGTGTGTGGGAGGGGGTGCGCGCAGAAACGTTGTGTAATTTTGACAGGGTTCACATCAGTGGGTTTCTGTTCCCAAGCACAGGACACTCCAGACAACATTGCAACTAAACTCCCCAACAGCAAACCTCAAAGAGAACAAAACACAAAGCAAGGGCATTGCCTCTCTGCAAAACTAACCAAGCTACACTGGTCAGAATCGGCAGCGGTTTACCTCTTCCACTCAGGAGTCTGAGAACCGAAGCAATATACTTATAGGGCACCGTCTCGCATGCTGGGCTTAGGTGCTGTACTGATGGACAGCATGCCAACCCCTAAACCAGACAGATAATTCCACTATGAATAAAGAATTTCATGCATCTTTAAGTTTAGCAAAGTTAAAATAAATATCTCCGGCTCTCTGGTGATCTCGTTCGAAAGCAGTGCAATTACTGTAACTACCGCGGGTCATAAATTACCTGCTTTGCCACTTGCCTGGTGATCTGTGCCAGGAAAATGAAGAAGAGGAGAGAGGGAGAAACGTCCAACTCTAGGCAGCTGTTGAGAGGGGAGGAGAGAACAATCCAACAGCAAGGGGCAGATGCTCAGCGCAGTGCGCAAAGCAATTCAGCACGCAACATCCAGCAGCCACCAGAGCTCTGTGTGTGTGTGAATCCTCGTGCATCCGTTTCCAAATCAGCCACACGCGTGCACACCCACACGCACCCTGTTGATCACAATAGGCTCTTGTCAGTTTCCCCACCTCGAGTTCCAAATAGCAATTCGCACACAACATAGTCACTGACTCAGCTAATCATTTCTCTCTTTCACTTAAAGGTCAAACACCGAGGGACTTTTATTTATAATGCCATTTTCGGAGCAGACAGCGAGGAGCACGTCCCAGAGCTACCAAAAGGCTTTGACATTTTAATTCCACAGAGCATCAGAGCAGTAAATGGTGGGACATCAATAGGGTGACCAGATGTCCCGATTTTATAGGGACAGTCCTGAATTTTGGGTCTTTTTCTTACATAGACGCCTATTACCCCCCACCCCGTCCCGATTTTTCACACTTGCTGTCTGGTCACCCTAGACGTCAAGGGGTCTGAAAGCATTCTCCTCCCCGACCCAGGAAGGGGCTATGTGAATTGTGCATCACGAACAAGCCAGGAACCCACCTCACCATCCTCCGCAAAGCACTCAAGTGAGAGGTTAGCGGATGGAGCGTTTGGCCCTTGCACCTCCCTGTGGGGGGTGGAGGTGGAAATGTGGATTCAAAAGAGCAAGTGAGAGGGTGGGAGCCTTGAAACAGGCAGAAAAGGTTTATCCAAAGTTGGGAACGTTGACAGTTTTTTCTTTGAAAAATCACCGCTCTTCCCAGCCCGCTCTAGAAACAACCGGTGCAGATAAGCTCCACAACAGGGGTATGCGACCACTCTGCCCTTCCTACCCCACTCAGTGGGAAAAGGGTTCTAGAAAGGAGAAGGCTGAGATCTCTGCAACGGTGCAAACCCTGCATCTGACAGCAGCGACACTGCAGCATCTAGGAGCCTGCTGTATTGTATTGATAAAGGAGCAGGATATCAGGGAGGCTTTATTGATGAAGCACCAGTTTGCTCCAATACAATAGCTAGCCCCTTCACTTCCATTTTTTATTCTAGCATCTTCCGTCTCTTTCTATTGGTATTCTTTGCTCTCTATTCCCACAGAACAGTACAGCAGCTACTAAGAGTTTTGTGGTCACTAGCGAGCAATAAACATGGCTACTGAACTGACTTCACAGATCTCGGCAAAAGCCCCACTCTACCACCTGCTCCTGTTACAAGGCAGAACCTCTTTTCTCGCCACAGGATTAGGACCCTTGTACTAATTAGAGCTGCAGCCACTAGAGGGCGACACAAACACTGTCCAATCAAGGGCAGCGAATCATGTAGCACTAACGAGTTCCGCCCTTGCACTTCGAGAGCCATCTCGAGCCCTGTCCTCATTGGGAGTAAAATCAGGCTACCTGTGACTGTGTGTAAAGTGGTACCATTCTCCTCCCAGAGCAGACAGAGACCGATAACAGCACGTGCTCCTCCACCCGAGCTGCCAGGTGAGTCCAACACGGGAGCAGCTGGGACATTTGTACCTCCTCCTTCTAGGGTAAAATTCTTGAAGTCGGGAGAGAAGGCGGCACAACTCCCAACCCCCATCTCACAGGCACTGGAGAGGACACTGCTGAATGCCAGATCAAAAGGCCATCTGATTGGCCACTCAAACAAGGGATCTGGTGGGAGAATTACTCATGAGCTGTAAATACATTTGATCAAAATCACCGGGGAAGACACGCCGCGGCCCTGTTGGTCAAGTTAGATTTCCTTAAAAAGAAAAATGTCCTACAGATCCTCGGCAACCAGTTGTGCTTTAAAGTGCATTGCTCCCTTAGCAACGGCTGCTCTCAGCTGTCCCAGAGCAGTGGCTCTCAAACTTTTGTACTGGTGACCCCTTCCACATAGCAAGTCTCTGAGTGCGACCCCCCCCTTATCAATATATTTAAAAAGTGTTTTTAATTTAACACCATTATAAATGCTGGAGGCAAAGCGGGGTTTGGGGTGGAGATGGACAGCTCGCAAACCCCCCCATGTAATAACGTTGCGACCCCCTGAGGGAGTCCCGACCCCCAGTTTGAGAACCCCTGTCCCAGAGCTTAGCCTCGAGGAGGGAGAGATGACTCGGTATCAAGCCTGGGATCTTACATGCACAGTGATGTATGTAAGCCACTTGTTAGGGAGCCTTACACGTCCGCCTTTCTGTATCTGACCCACGTAGACACTCCTGCTTTCAGCTGTGGTGGCTCCCGGTGTCAAACAAGGCGGCAGCTGTCATGGAAGCGCTTGAGAAGGCCACAGCCCTGTTTAATACACCTTCCGCCAAAGCCTCATCCTTGAGGCAGAGGGCATTCAGCACTCCAATCAGCATCACTCTCGTGATGGATGGCCTCTCTCTGCCACCCAACCCCACATCACAGCAAACGCGATCCTCTATAAGGCTTTCCAGTACTTTTCAGTAATCCTGTGCATCCAACTCAGAGACACAGAACCTCTGTTCTGAGGGCTCAGACACCCCTCTAATTCATGTTTTTAAAAGGCACCTCGCTGCTGCGCACGGCATGCGGCTTGAAGTTACTGATCCAGAGATGCATATTTTTCCATCTTAAGATGCATTTTTAAAAAGAAATATCACGCATGTGAATGTGGCCAGTAGTTTCAAGCAGAAAACCAAACGTGTCAGTAATTTACTACTTTCCATTGATTAAAATCATCATAATTAACATGTCCACTGCAAAGAACATTTTAAAAAATTATCCAGACCCAAAGCTTTTATATAACAAGGCTATGCCACCATACCTTAGCTTAGTTCCATCCCTTTCCACCCTCTTCCTACAGCCCACTTTTGTCTGGTATCACCTGTTTTCAGGTCTTAACTTTCATTGTAAGATCTCTGATGCACAAATAGCAGATCCCAGTTTAATCTCAGTTCTGCTGTTGTAAATCCACAGCAACTTCAATCGAGTGACTCCAGATTTGCACCAGAGTCACGCAGATCAGAGTCTGGCCCCATGTCTTATTTGCTCTGTGAACTGCTATTTACGTTCATGGCACTGTATCAGTGCACACAACAATCCATCTGTGTTCTCTCTCCATGACCCTGCAGAGCCACCAGACAGGAGCAGAAGGAACAATGGTATTTATTTCAACAAAGGGTATTTCAATCATTCCCCCCACCCCCAACTTTGACATTTCATCCCTAAAATCATTAGTTTCTTCCAAAAAGGAAATAAAGATCCAACAGCCCAGTCAACCTAATGTCCCATGCATATCTGCAGGAACAGCTAAGGAACGTGAGCTGTCCATCTCTGCTGTGTATCAAGCTTGGTTATTACTACAGAGATCGAGATTCCATGGTGAGTTACAGAAATATATTTGCAGTCAGAAGTTCCCCTCCCAATTCCTTCTCAATTTCCTTCAAGCTTTACCTTGAAAACAACTGCATGGAAAACAAAACAGACTTACCCGCCATTCGCTAATCCATGGTGTATTTGAATCCAGAAGATTACTCAACATCTGACAGCCCCAGCAGCTTTAAACTCACTGGGGCATGTGGGAGATTATTTCTGGTTACGTTTTCTTCCCCCGCCTCCTCCCCAAACTCTGAAGTAGGCTCGCAGCAAAAGAGAAAAATCCCAAACCAGGCCAGAGAGCAGAAACGAAGATGTGATTCTGTTAGACAGCACAGCTAATATTTCAATCCTACTGCGCTGCTGGACGTGCCAAAAGGAACTAGACAATGGAAGGAACATTAATTTCATAATAGAAGTCCTTGGAAGGAACAACATGGGCCGATATCTTCAGATAAAAACAAGATGTATTTTTTATTCCAGGCTTGTTACAACTCGTCCACCCTTCCTGCTAAACAATGTCCCAGGAAGAGTGCCCCTCAGGCCCTTTGCAGCGTCTTGCAAAGATGCGTCATCTTCGTTGTCTTATTTCCATAAGAGGATCGTTTACTTTCCTGCTATTAAATAGGCTGCCCCATGCAAAGAAAATGCAAGGTTCACAGTGCCTGTCAGTCCACAGTTACTGAACTATACACACAGGAATCCCTTGCAGCCACTTCTGCGGTAGAACATTACAGCAGTTTCACAGCACACAGGAACACTACATGAGTGTTTCAGGCTGGAAATGAAGGGTACTTTGGTTGAAACCATAGGGAGAATGTAGATTGGCAGTAGTTACCCACGTTGGAATTGGGTCAAGGGCACTGGGGATAACCCTCCGGTTCTTGCCAAAAAGGACCCTGGGGACTTCAGCTTCCACAAGAATATAGGACTTTGGCTTTGATGACTCCTTCAAAACAGCAGCAGCCGCCGCCGCCGCCCAGGCATCAGAGCTCCGTGAGAAAAGTAACACCTAGAGAATGAACCAGCTCCACTTCCGAGTCTCCCATCCAAATACCCGTCCAGCCTGATCAGGCTTAGTGTAGGAGATCTGATGAGGTCACCAGCGGCAAGGTGCAATTCTGCAGTGAAAGTCCTTTTCAATTAGGTGCAAGACAATCTATGAAGACGTCACAACCAGGATCATTGAGCAGAGAAAGACAAGCCTTTCCTAAACTCAAGCAATTATGGCACCGTCCTAATGAGTCCTGGTGGGATTAGAGCAGCATTTGAGCCTACTCCATGGAATGGGGCACAACTGGATGACCATAGAAGGCCCTTCCAACTCAATCATCTAGGAGCTGAAGAGCCCTCCAAATGGGATTGGTAATGAGCTAAGTGATGGAGCTGATCCCCTCTAGGTGACTCATTCAAATACAGCCTGTGTTAGTAATAACTAGAGATCCTTTGCCATTCAATGGCTGGCCGGAGGACTTTGTGAAATAAGTTAGTGATCTAAATTCATTTCCCAAATGGGCAAATCTCTCACGTCACCACCACCAGCGGGCACCTTCACTCGCAACTCAAAGAGAACAACCGTTTGCATGGGCCTGGAGACATCATCATTGTTAGAGCTGGTTATCCCATGCACAAGGTTGAGGCACGTCACCGTACACAGCAGCAGTGCAAGGTTCCTCATGCAATCGGCTGCGTGCACATTTTTGGGGGTTCACCGAAGGCTCCAGTTTCCAGGGCCAACAATATGGTGGTTAATTTAGTTTGGTTTCCT